GACGTGAGACAAGTCCTTTTAAACCACGGTTGGGGTCCTCAGACCATCCATCACCATGGGAAAGGAAGAGAGAAAGGAAAGGGCAAGAGAGGGAGGGAGATTAATGGAAGAGAGGATTTCCAGATCCCAAGAGGAGGGAGAGGGTGGTCCCCTGGCAATAAAGGAAAGGAAGAGAGAAAGAAAAGAGGAGGAGGAAGAATGGAAAAGGAAGGAGGACAAGGAAGGAAAAGGAAAGGAAAGGAGAAGGAAGGAAAGGAGAAAGGAAAGGAAGGAAAAGGAAGGAAGAAGAGAAAAGAGGAAAAGGAGGAAGGAAACAAGGAAGGAAAAGGAAAGGGAAGGAAGGAAGAGGAAGAGAAGGAAAGGAAGGAAGAGGAAGGAAAAGGAGAGGAAGGAAAGGAAGGACCGGAAGGAAAGGAAGGAGGAAAGGGAAGAGGAGGAGAGAGGAAAGGAAAGGAAGAAAGGAAAGGAAAAGAGAAGGAAGGAAGGAGGAGGAAGGAAAAGGAGAGAGGAAAGAAGGAGGAAGAAAAGGAAGGAAGGAGGAAGGAAAGGAAAAGGAAGAGAGGAAAGGAAAGGAAGGAAAGGAAGGGAAAGAAAGGAAAGGAAGAGAGAGGAAAGGAAAGGAAAGGAGGAAGGAAGAGAGAAGGAAGGAAGAAAGGAAGGAGAGGAAAAGGAGGAAGGGAAGAGGAAGGAAAGGAAGAGAAAGGAAGGAAGGAGAAGGAAAGGAAGAGGAAAGAGATGGAGAAGAGGAAGGAAGGAAGGAAGAAGGAAGGAAGGAAGGAGGAGGAAAGGAAGGAAGAAAGAAAGGAGGAAGGGAGGAAGGAGGAAGGAAGGAAGGAAAGAGAAGGAAGGGAGGAGAGGAAAGGAAAGGAAAGGAGGAGAGAAAGGAAAGGGAAGGAGGAAGGAAAGGAAAGGAAGGGAAGGAGGAGGAAAGAGAAGAAGGAGAGGAAGGAGAGGAGGAAAGGGAGGAAGGAGGAAAGGAGGAGGAAAGGAAGGGAAGAGAGAGGGAAGGAGGAAGGGAAGGAAGGAAAGGAAGGAAAGAAGGAAGGAAAGGAAGGAAGGAAGGAAGGAAGGAAAGAAGGAAGAGAAGGAGGAAAGGAAGGAGAGGAGGAAGGGAGGAGGAAGAAGGGAGGAAGAGGAAGGAGGAAGGAAGAGGAATGGAGGAAAGGGAGGATGGAAAAGAAGAGGAAGGAAGGAGGAAGAAAGGAATGGATCAGGAAGGAAGAGGAAGGAGGAATGGAATGGAAATGGAAAGGAGAAGGAGGAAAGGGACACAACGGAGGATGGAAAAGAAAGGAGTGAAATGGAACAAAAAGGAGTTGGAAGGATGTAAGGACAGGAATGGAAGACAGAATGGAATAATGAACACTCCACATCCAGAAGAAGGAATGGAAGAAGTGAAATGGAGCTAGGGATGGAAAAGACAGGATTGAAGAATGGAATGGAGTGGAAGGAACACAAATGAAGGATGGAGGTGTGGGAAAGGAGTGGAAGAATAAAATGGATGGAATGGAATGGAATGGAGGATGGAATGGAAGGAATGGACATCCAGAAGGAGTTGGTATGTGAGTCAGTCAACAGGTGAGTGAACAGGTCAAAAGACAGAGAAGAAACAGCCACCTCCACATCCAGAAGGAGTTGGTATGTGAGTCAGTCAACAGGTGAGTGGATGGGTCAAAAGACAGAGAAGAAACAGCCACCTCCACATCCAGAAGGAGTTGGTATGTGAGTCAGTCAACAGGTGAGTGGATGGGTCAAAAGACAGAGAAGAAACAGCCACCTCCACATCCAGAAGGAGTTGGTATGTGAGTCAGTCAACAGGTGAATGGATGGGTCAAAAGAAAGAGAGGAAACAGCCACCTCCACATCCAGGACAGACAGACAGAGTTTATTTTGTAATGTCGGCCTAATGGCCCATAATACAGTTACATAATATAAGGTACAGATGGACAATGGTCATTCTCATTAACTACATTGTAGCTTTATACCTGCAAGAGAGTATTTGGTGTATAAATAAAGCAGTAATGTATATAATACGTGGATGTTTAGAGCTTAAAATATTATTGAGTGAGAGTGGGCCCATATATACATTTCTAAGTTGGATGAGATATTTTTCGCGGAAGTGTTGGTACTATTTACAAGAAAAGAAAATATGTTTTTCGTCTTCAATCTGTGGGGAATTGCAGAATGTACAGTAGAGCTCTTCAATAGGCACATCCTGATGACAAAAGATGTTGGCTTTAAAATCGTTGTGGGCAATCCAAAATTTGCAGAGAGCACGTATGAGATCTTTACTTTTTAGTTCTGTGATGTAAGGTTCCAGTTGGAGATTGTATTTGAACTGTGAGTATTGATTTAGATGTTTTGATGTATTGATATCGTTGCGCCAGCTTTGGCGTCCTATATCTGTAAGTCGTTGTTGGAAGATAAACATGAATAACTTTACATTGTCAACTCCTTGGTTGAACCATATGTGTGAAAAGCCGGTTCGGAAAAGAATGGTTCTTACATTTGACACCCAGTTGCTCTTGCCCATATTGTCGAAAGATTTAAGCATCTTATATGATTGTAAAGGGTAACGATTATTCTCCATAAGCAGTAATTTGAACCAGAATTTTATTACTTTAGCCTGTGTGAGCACAAACATAGGAAGACGTCCTAGTTCACCAAGGATGGCCTTGTTTGACACACATTTTCCAAGTTTTAAGAACCTTTTGAAATACGTTGTTTGGATCCGTTCAATGACCTCTGTGTATCTGAAGCCCCATATTTCCGATCCGTACAGAAGTATCGGTACTATTTTCCTATCAAATATGGTTGAAGCGATGGAATAAGTAAATTCTTTTTTTTTTATTAAATAGTCTGAACACAGACAGACAAGCTTTGTTCGCTTGTTGTGCAAGAGTTTCACCTGCTTTTGTCCAAATAAGTCTTGAAGAAAACACTATCCCAAGGTATTCATAATATGTTACAACTTTTATTGGCAGTTTGCGATACCTCCATTTTTCAAACTGGGTGAGGATTCCTCCGTTGCGAAACACAACGATATTAGATTTATTCAGATTCACTTCCAGTCCCCATTTGGCACAGAATTGTTCTAGGACATTAAATTGACGTTGAAGAGCAATGACGCTGCTTGAGAATAGAACGATGTCGTCAGCAAACATAAGGAGGAGAAGATCCTGTATTTCTGGAGTGACGAATATCCCATGATTACATGACTTATATAATTCAGTTGCAAGTTTATTGATGAACAGGAGAAATAGTACCGGACTAAGGATACATCCTTGTCTAACCCCACACGAAGTATCAAATGCTTCTGATCTCTGGTTGTCCACTCTAACACATGCTTGCACTGACGTATACATACTCTTCAGTAGCAAAAGTAACTTTCCGTGGCATCCACTTTTAACTAATGTATACAATAATTTATTCCTATCCACATAGTCGAAGGCCTTTGTGAAGTCGATAAATTTGCAGTAGAATCGCCCTTTCGTTCTATTTAGATACTTAGAGCACAGTGCCTGTAACGTGAAGATATGGTCTGTCGTTTAATATTGTAGACGGAATCCAGCTTGCCTTTCAGAGAGTAAATTGTTGAAATCAATCCATAATCTAAGTCGTTTTTCAATTATTGTTGTAAAAATCTTCCCCATAACATTTAATAATGATATGCCTCTGTAATTGGTAGGCTCCTTCTTGTCACCTGATTTGTAGAGTGCTAAGATTATTCCAATATTCCATTGTTTCGGGAACATACCTTCATCCAATATTTTGTTAAATAGCAGCTTTAGATACAGAGTTAGGAAACCTGATGATAATTTGAAGAGTTCTGACGTAAGCCCATCAATGCCTGGAGCCTTTCCACTTTTGAGGTGCAATATTGCCGGTGTAATTTCATCCTCAGTTATTTCAGTGTTAAGGTAAGCGTCACTATTTGCACAACCTGCAGAGTCATTACATGTGTGGTTTTCCAAGAATTCCTTGACATGTTCATCAAAATCAGTGTTGGTGTTAATCAGTACAGGATTTAATAATTTCCTAAAATAATCTTGCCATTCACATGCTGCAATTGAAGAAACGTGGTTCGTACGGAATTGGTTCTTAATTTGTTTCCAAAATTCTTTACAGTTTCCAGCTGCAGCTGCAGCATTAATTTCATCTGCCAGTTTCCTATTGTACTGTGTTTTCTTAAATTTGCAACATTCTTTGAAAGATTTTTTTGCATCCAGATTTTTGTCACATCTGAATTTCCTGAACTTATGAAGGTGTCTGTATTTCTCAGATTTTAAGCATTCGCAATCTTCATCAAACCAGGGTGGTTGCTGGAGTCGTTGATGAAACTTCAAAGAGCCGGGTTTAAGTTGTCCAGTGGCCATTGAAATGACACGTTATTGGCAGATGGTCCAATTCTATCCTCTGCATTACACTCATGTCACTTATACTGGAAAACAGTTCACTGGATACTATGAGATAATCAACAATGCTGGCACCTGCTGTTGAAATGAAAGTAAAATGGCCAAGCAGATCTCCCTGCTTCCTTCCATTTACAATATGGAGGTTGAAAACTTTGCACAATGTTAGTAGACTCCTGCCATAATTATTGGTTTGTTTGTCACATGACATTCTTTGCATATCAAAATGGTCTGAGTTGTAGTCGTCATGCAGAGGCAAATAGTCAATATCATCATTTATAATACAGTCTGAATCTAAAGCAGTTCTAGTATTAAAATCTCCGAGAAGTATAAACTTTATCTCATCACCTAAGTCGGACATAATGTGCAGTAGTTTCTTCCAAAGAAGGGAAATCCCATCGTCGTCAGAACCAGTGTACACCCTTGCATTTTCCGGATGTATGTAGAGAAACAAAATAAATATATGTTCGTAATTAATGCATGAATTTATTTTTAAAACAATCATCTTTGTCCATTGTTCATACAGTCTCAAGAAGTGTGTAGGTATACAGCGTCTGATACACACACTTATTCCTCCCGAGTATCTACCACGATCACCTGCATGATTAGCATCTGAAATAAAACATTTATGATTTGGAAATGCATTTTCTAGTATACTCGATACATTCGAGGAATATGGATACATTGTTTCAATAAAGCAAAATATGTCAAAATAATTACAGAAACTAAACATCTCACAATTGTCTATTTTTGAGTGTAGACCGTTTATATTCCATGCTAATACTGATAGATGTTGTTTTGATGTATTGTCACGGTGTTCTGATAGTGTAGAGGTTGAAGGTCCGGGGCCACGGCCAATGTCCTAGCTTGATGTTGTAGGCTGGGTGCAGGGCTCCAGATAACTTTTGGGGGTGCGAGTGTACTTACACATCATATTGCAAGTGGAGGTGTACTGAGAATTTTGAAGGAGTACTGACATGTTTTTGTGTGAGCGAGTTGGTGATGTGGTTTGTCTGGACGATTCATCGATCACTATTTCCAACCATGCATTTGTATTTGAAGACGTGTGAGAAATAACTGAGCGACCGTGTGATGCACGAAATGTCAGGTCCGACTGGATATAAATAGGAACAGTGTAGTTTTTAGACAATCGAAAAATAGTGACGCATATCGTTGCATGGCAACGCAAGTGATTCCTACTGTCGGGGTTTCCTCATGTGTCAAATCGTGTTCCGCAAAAGAAACTTGACAAGTATTTATCCGAAATAGATTTCTATTTGCACGATATGCACGGAAATACAATGTTAGACGTACAAAGGTATTTATGTGCGTACACGATAAGCTTGATATCTTATATTATGTCGTACTTAATTGATTTTGAGGCGTACATTACGCCTGTACGCCCCTTATCTGTAGCCCTGTGGGTGTCTGGCTGAGTCGGTGTCTTGGATGTCCGGGGCTGACGTGTCTCCCACTTCTGTCTTTGTCCAACCTGCTTCATGTCTCCGATTGTGTCATCATAAGCATAGCTACATCCGGAACACCATGTTGGTATGTGAGTCAGTCCACAGGTGAATGGATGGGTCAAAATAAGGACAGTGAAAAAACAGCCACCTCCACATCCAGAAGGAGTTTGTATGTGAGTCAGTCAACAGGTGAAGGGATGGGTCAAAATAAGGACAGTGAAAAAACAGCCACCTCCACATCCAGAAGGCGTTTGTATGTGAGTCAGTCAACAGGTGAAGGGATGGGTCAAAATAAGGACAGTGAAAAAACAGCCACCTCCACATCCAGAAGGCGTTTGTATGTGAGTCAGTCAACAGGTGAAGGGATGGGTCAAAATAAGGACAGTGAAAAAACAGCCACCTCCACATCCAGAAGGAGTTTGTATGTGAGTCAATCAACAGGTGAAGGGAAGGGTGAAAATGTGACCAGTGAAAAACAATATCAAACAATCACCCCCAGAAGGAGTCAATGTGCATCAATCAGTCGGCTGATGAGAGGATGGGTTGTAATGTGACCAATGATGTGATGGCAAAAGGTCAGCCAGGTCACACACATATTCAAATTTAGCAGACTCATTTTCTCAATTTCCCTTGTATCAATAAATCATTAAATGAGATCCTGTGAATAATATTGTGCTCTCATCAACAGTGAATATAGTAAACCAATACTTGTATGACTGCAGCACTGACCTCTGACAGTTCTGCCTTGTAGAGGGCTATGACCGGTGTCACACCCAGCCATATACGGAACATCCCTGCTTCCTTGTACGTCTCCGCGAACTGTAGCAGCTGACCGTAGAAATCTAACACAAGAATATCCTTGTTAACATGGTTACAGACACAACCAATTGTCAACACTGAAGGTACAACATTACATTTGCAAGTTTACTTTTGTAGTGGTCAATATCACAACCATATTGTAACAGTTCAACTTTAACACTTCCAATCATGTAATATTCTAGCATGAAAGTAACACTAATAATGTGAATGTCCCTTGCTAGCCTTACTAAAGTGCCACAATTAAACATGTATCTGGATATTTTGGAGCATATTGTCACATCATGTTCACTTGGCATAGGCAGAACCACATGACATACCCAACAGCTCTAACAAAATACAATGCAGTTTACAGTGGTCACTGTATGTATACAAGTTCATCATGCAATTGTTGACACTCGCAAACGTTCTATGACTGTGTCTTTGTCCCAAACATATGCCTACACATGACAAGTGCAAGCAAACCATTGCTCACTCACATAATGAACATGTAAGGTACAGTAATAACATCGGTGGTGAAAACACAACCCTGCTCATATACATACAGACATTTAACAAGTTGGTGAGTAACAGTAAAGGCATGATGTGTTAGAACTCTGTAATTGAATAAACAAGAAGCTATCCATTTTATATCCATCTTCCCTGAGCAAGGGAGTTAACGGATATCTAAAGTCCAGTTTCCAGTCATGCCAAACTAGGCTGCAAATGGGTCTATACATAGTCCAATAAAATCACGAAAGGACATCTGCATCCAGCTCATCAACTGCACTGCAGATATCAGGTGGTACCAGATATTTTCCATATGTTTTCATGTTTTTATACATGGTACTCAAGTAAGTTGATGCACTTTGTGAGGTAAGACCCATTTTATTACAGTGTAGATCTTGATCAGATCATCTTGACCATGCCCCGCCATTTTACTTAAATGAAATGAAGAAATATGACTGGCCTATAACAGGGACATACAAATGACATTACTCATAACAGCCACTAGTGTAACAGTCTAGTTCGGCAGTGCTGGAGACTGGGCATATGTAGTATGTTAAACCCTCTTGGCTGCATTCTCTTCCCACAGAGGTTACTCCTGTCATATCTTCCTACATAACCTCTGTTCTAATACGGCCATATTTCCCGGTCCTCGTAAAATCCCCTAGCGGCAAAAGATCGCAACACGAATTATCTCCCTTCTTTCTATCCAATCAGAACACGTGTTACATCGACTTAGATTCAATTTGACTAACACAAGCAAATGCGGGGCCACAAATATCCCCCATCTGCCGGGGAATTGTGTTGATGTTACACACAAGACGTTTAATGGCTAGCTTGTCCGTTGTCAACGAGGGCGATGGAGACGCCATTGATACGCCATTACATGACTGAGTTCTGTCTAGAAGAAACGTTTGCGCATCGCGCTGGGGAAGAGGTTCTAGTTTTCCCGAAGCATACGGAAATTACCGAGGCCTTGCGAATGATCACTTTTGAAACAACGTCGCTGATTGCACAACTAAATCGGCTTGTCTCCAATCACGAGCCTTGAACGCTGACACCAAGAAAGGGTCGTATTAGAACAGAGGTTATGTAGGAAGATATGACAGGAGTAACCTCTGTGGGAAGAGAATGTCTTGGCTGGAGAAGCTGGATATTTTATGGATGACAACTTTGTTTTCTATTATGAAGTTGTCATCCATAAAATAGCTTGCCTCCCTTGCCTTGGGAATGTGTAAAATATCTTACCTTTACTGCTCATAAACATTCAAAGGAGTGTTTGTCTCTGACCTATCTCATTTGAATATGCTGCATTTGGAATTCTATTTCTATTTCCTGCTACTTAGATCCCATGTCAGGCAGTGAATGTTTGTGATGATATTATTTACCTGCTACTTAGATCCCATGTCAGGCAGTGAATGTTTGTGATGATATTATTTACCTGCTACTTAGATCCCATGTCAGGCAGTGAATGTTTGTGATGATATTATTTCCTGCTGCTTAGATCCCATGTCAGGCAGTGAATGTTTGTGATGAAATTATTTACATGCTAATCAAACAGCTATCACCCTCACCACATCAAGGAATTCTAAGTCAGCAGTCTTGATGTTATTTTTTTTTTATGACATCCTGACACATAATTATCACTGGAAAAATACAACTAATTTGGACACTGTCATCAATTTTTTTCCAAAATGATCCATTTTATGCAGACCCTCCCTAAAGCTAGACAAAAAGATTCCCCATAAACTTGGCCTAGATATGCTGGAATCCACAAAATCTATTGACAAGATTTATTATAGGACAATTGCACCACAACACCTACATGCTGGGCAAAGTGTGTGTGTGTGTGTGTGAGTGTGTTATCAAGCTAGAGGCCAGGCATGTCCTACTTTCTGACCCAACTGATAACAACAATACCGGAGTGTCAAAAATTAAGCATACGACCTTATGGGAGTGAGTGAGTGTGGTTTTATGCCGTTTTTAGGAATATTCCAGCAATATCACGGCGGGGGACACCAGAATGGGATGACCTTATGGATGACAACTTCTTGTTTATTGCATAGAGCGACTTTGGTGTAGACTCTTACACCGTTATCAAGCTAAAAGGTCACTCTATCCATGCAATAAACAAGAAGTTGCTATTCATAAAATTGTATGCTTCATTTTAGACTCACCAATTTCAAGAATGCCGATCAAACAATTTATACTAAACAGGCATCTACTGTAATTATATTTGGCATGATGCAGTAACATATCACATATCACATACATGTATAAAAAAAAGCAAAATAATATATAATTATATAATTATTATTATATAATTTACCTACTCAACGGTTCTGAATAGCATGTGTAAACTGGACCATAGTTTTAGAAAGTAGCGTCAAGATTAATGTATACATATTTTGTGGCATTATATTTTATAATATTGTATGATTTGTCTCTTGATGTAAGAAATATTTCGATTGAAACCTTTCTTACTACAATTGTATATAATCTTTTTGACTAAAATAATTATGGCATTTAATGGATAGTTATTACATGTGTGTATCATACCACATATATCATGGTTGTTCCGGCATATATATTTGTTTTACAGATTTTGGGACACTTAAGAAACATTTGTTGTAATTGCATGAACAACATTAAAACATCTCACTAACTTAAAGGTAACTTTATCCTAAACACAAGCCATCATTCAAGGCTTTACACCCCTACTAGTGACATCCGAAAACATATGATGTTTGAAACGTTAAAATCAGTGTATGAACAGTGTATGATCAGGTCAATCAAGATATAGACGTTACTAAACGAATGTAATAATATTTTTATTAAATAAGTTAATGATTTGGTATCAAACACGTGAAAGTAATACAAAATCTTTCACAAGTTTTAAAAATGGTATTTCACAGAAGCGAGTTTAGCATTCTGTTTATTACTTTCCAACATACATTGACAGAAACTGCCTACAGTGTGATGACTCTTAGCTTTCCACAGTCAAGCAAGGTCTAATACCATTGGGACAGAGGCACTAGCATATTGTGACGTCATAACTGTGAACCATTATGACATCATATGTCTGGCATCACACGTTATTACTCAATGTGTAATAACATTGTATATTTATTAAACAGTGATATCTTCAATGGGTGAGTAATAAAAACATTTTCCACACATATAGGCCTATTCCTGTGACATTATCATGTCATAACCACACGTTACTCTTTTAACAAGTAAAGAACACACTAATTGTTTGCCATCAGTCATAAATATTTAATTAAACCTACAAACCTTTTTCTTCTTTTTATGAAAAAAAGCCTTTACATCTACAGTGGACCAAAATAGGTGGACCTAAAAAATCTGGTCCTTCTCAAAACCCATTCTTTGTGTACTTTGTTGTGTATCATTGTTTGGGTTCAAGAAAGTCACCTGTGCACTAGATGGATTTTGATTTTGATGTGTCTTGTAAGAAGCCTTATGTAAAATAACAATTTCTTTACTGAGTTTTACTTCGACATCTCAGCAAAGTGCATCACACCGCAAAAGAGGAGCATACTAAACATTTCACGCAAGTCGTACCTTTACTGCTCGTAATTTTGGAATCCCATGTTTAGACCAACCGCGTCGTCTGGATCTGACTACCTTCGATACACTCGGCACTACTAGGTCACAAACCGCATACACCGACTCCCTGAAATTCGCCTCTTACCTGCGCCAGATGGTGACAGTTGGTGAGCATTTCCGATCAAAGGTAAAGCAGCGGGACCGGGCACTTTGTTTACAAGTTTCCGGTTGCGTGATGATTGTAAAAACCATATTGTTACGAATATAATCGCCACAACCGCAACAATCACTGCAACTGCCGCCATGTTAAGACTTTGACAGATGTCACGTGATCAGCCAAGTTAATATCGGTCAAGATACGAAATAACTGTACTGTCTCGCATGTGCAAATAATCTATGAATTTCAGCATCAACCTAGCGGTACAGTCATGTAGGTCAGAGGTTAACGTCTTTTTGAATGAATAAAGAGCAAGGTATTGCCATAGGAAAGCATTAATTGTTGTGGGGCATACCGCAAATTAACCGTATGTCAGTTTCTTATACAGTCAGTCAAACATTGGAATGTGACCATAGTTCAACATACAGTCAGCCAAACATTAGAATGTCACCATAGTTCACCATAGTCAAACATTAGAATGTGACCATAATTCACCATACAGTCAAACATTAGAATGTCACCATAATTCACCATGCAGTCAGTCAAACATTAGAATGTCACCATATTCAAACATTAGAATGTCACCATAGTTCACCATAGTCAGTCAAACATTAGAATGTCAGCATAGATCAGCATACAGTCAGTCAAACATTAGAATGTCACCATGATTCAACATACAGTCAGTCAAACATTAGAATCTCACCATAGATCAGCATACAGTCAGTCAAACATTATTAAGATTCCAAATCATGACATATGAACAGCATAATAACATTCTAATTATTCAAACATTGATGATTCAAACCCACCATGTAAACATACAGATTATTCAAACCCAAAATGGGATAATTGATAACAGGATTCAAACCCACCACATGACCACACTGACGTTTTAAATCCACCACATGACCACACTGATGTTTTAAACCCACTATATGACCACACTGACGTTTAATGTCCACCACATGACCACACTGATATTTTAAACGCACCATATGAACACACTGACGATTTAAACCCACTATATGACCACACTGATATTTTAAACCCACCACATGACCACACTGATGTTTTAAACCCACCACATGACCACACTGATATTGTAAACCCACCACATGACCACACTGATGTTTTGAACCCACTATATGACCACTGATATTTTAAACCCACCACATGACCACACTGATGTTTTAAACCCACCACATGACCACACTGATATTTTAAACCCACCATATGACCACACTGATGTTTTAAACCCACCACATGACCACACTGATATTGTAAACCCACCACATGACCACACTGATGTTTTAAACCCACCATATGACCACACTGACGTTTTAAACCCACCATATGACCACACTGATATTTTAAACCCACCATATTAAACCCACCACCACACTGACGATTTTAAACCCACCACATGACCACACTGATGTTTTAAACCCACCATATGAACACACTGACGTTTTAAACCCTCCACATGACCACGCTGTTTTAAACCCACTATATGACCACACTGATGTTTTAAATCCACCATTTGTTTTAACCTGACTACATAACCACACTATGTTTTAAGCCCACAATATGACCACACTGACGTTTAAAACCCATGATATTTATTATGATTGAGGAGACTCATGTATATGTAGCTCCTTCAAGGTATTGCCAGGCAGCTATCACCACAAGGTTAGAAAGGTTCCATAGTCACTGTACCTAAGGTGATGCTGGTAACGCACATTACCAGTTTCCAACATGCCGGCAGGTAAGATCGCTTGGTGGTTATTCCCCTCGAATGAGCAGCCTTACACGTGTATACAATCAACATTATTTAGCACCCTGATAAACTTTGATGGTGGAAATACATTCAATGCACTGAATTTGCTTATTAATGTCTATGTGTTGAAGAATAAGCATTTTTAAAATCACGCGAGGATGTCGGTAACTCAAAGTCTGGATGACGGTAACGTGCAATGAATGATGCTGGTAACGCATACTGTCCTGCTTTAGTCAGTAAACAGAAATTGTCGAGTTATGTTTAAACACAAAGGAGAAACAAATATCAGTTCTATGTTTTACACAGATGTGTACTGCTGGTACATTAACAGTATGAGCGACTTTTTTCTGTGCGCCGGAGAGTTGTTGCTTGTCTTCAAGCAGTGCTTGGATGTCCCACTTGGATGTTTATCTCCGTTACAGCCTCGCAAAATTACTTCTACTTCTGTCAAGGGTCATAGCTTCTTCTTTTTAACTGACAATGGATTGGCTGTATCTCAGTGGAACTTGGTACATCGTCCTTAGGGCAGGGGTCACACCAGAAATGGTCGTGAGAGTCCTAGATAGAAGGTTAATCTCACACAGAAGTGGGTTTGCCTTTCACTGACATGCCAATTTCTGCACATTTTTTGATAGTTTTATGAATGTAGTTGTTACAGTAAACTGTTTATAACAAACATGCTTATAACAGAGATATAATGAACTGGTCTGGCTACTTGCTCTATATTATCATCAAAATGTACCAAACTAGTTACAAGGAACTAAGATAAGTGATCCGTTTGAGTTGATTATAACTAGTGTCCTGTATCTGAATGTGTAGGACTACTGACAAGTGATGACACGGTCATGTGCTATATGCATTTCTACATTCAATACCACCATGGGATATCATTGTAGGTTTACATGCTGAATAGCCAGCCCTTTGGGATGCTTGCAACTGGACCTGAGAAAATCCGTGCAAGAAATGATATCCAGCAAACCGTGTTTGTTGTATGAGGCGACAAATGGGATTGGGTGATTAGACTTGCTGACCTGGTAGATGCATGTCATTGTATCCCAAATACACGTAAAACATCACTGGACGGCCTTGGCCAAGCCCTGATGAGAGGACACCATCATATATCTGGAATATTCCAGAATTAAACTACTAACTTGCAACTGATACTGAAGGTGAGTTTCAATGTCAAGGTCATAAGCACCTGATAGTATTGTTCTTGTCACAAAGTTTTCATTGTACTAAGTTTAGTACATATCCTGCATGTCAGTTCCAAATGAAACATAGTCAAGGGTGTAAATTTGGTATTTGTGTTTATTACAAAAAAATAATAAATATGTCTCAATATCAGTGTTGACATTCACAGATCTGCATATCAGCTCTCAGTTGCATTCAAACCTCATGCACCCAACATCCAACATACTAGGCTTTTCTTGGTAACACAGCTCCAACTTGGTAACATGGTGACAATGCCTCCAACCATGTCAGCGGGTTGAGTAGAGTGAGCCACCCTGACACTGTCACAATTATCTCCATGCAAACTGTCTTCCTCTCACAATGTTTCAATAAATAAATTGCTTGTTCCTCACATACCAATTCCTTATGATAAAGTTCTACAATCTCTGCAGATTTAATGAGGTTTTCAGAGATTATGCTGAATTCACTTGTTTTCATCATTATGGCAATATTTTCCAACACATCCTTTAACATTTTCATCAAGTAATCTTATGCCACATAACTCATACATACTTTTTATGTAAAGATTTTCTTACAAAATGGAAGCACATAATGAATACTGTAAATTGATTTTAAAAAATAGGCCATTTAAAATATGGCGAGGAGCTAGAATAATGCCCTGAGCAAGAGTGTCAGTACCAGATGTTTCTGTCCAAGGAGGCAGCAACTGCACTGTGGTAAATATAAAACACTGGTCACAATACTTCTTCCAAAAGATATTTTGATTATGACATGTATGTGAAAAATCTAATTTGTTAAGAAACCATGGTATGCAGGATTCATGAAACATTTGATAATTTTCTCAATGATTTTACAAGCTAATCAACATGTGCAACTAGACAACAGAGAGCTTGTGTAGCCTCCGTGCTACTCTAGATGACCAAGTTGTACTGGACTTCTCTCTTCCAACTTAACAACTATGTACAGAAATACACAAAACAGCATTGAACAATACTGATGGACGTTTCATAAATAATACAACTTCATGTACAAATAAACAATAATGCTCTTTATAATTTACACACATAGCACTTGTAATAACCAGTCACTCACATCAGAGGAATAGCACAAGTTGAGGGGGTCATTTCATTCTGTTCAGCCGTCAACTTGAGGCATACCTCTGGAAGATGAAAACGTCATTCATTCACCCAAAGTGTATCACAGGCCAGGAGATCATATGATCAATGAAAGAGACAGCCTGACTGAGGTTTCAGTTTCACTGAGTTAGCACCTGAGTTACGAACATGGGGCATGTTCAGTCAGCAATGAGCTGACATCAGCCACATGGGGTATTATCACATATAAGATACTGACTCGGAACAGTTGGACATGATTGATTTGTGAGCAAGCTTACTTGACAATGTAAACACTTTGTCAGTGATACTTGTACTATTTCCACAACACATACTGGACATATCATAAGTTGTCTGCCCAGTCTGCAGCTTGACCCAACAAGCTCGCAACTGTGCAGGCCATCTAGGATATACTGTTTCCTCCAGTGTTACTTGTTCTTTTACGACTCTTTCTTTTTAAAGCATTTGGCGAGGTCATCTGCGTTGCTGTGCGAGGACTCTTTCTTGTGGTGAAGGAATCCTCGAATGGGCTTTTAGTGTCATAGTCACTGTGAGACATGGAGTAGCAAGAGAAACTGCGGAAATTGCACTTTGTGCGTTTTGTTTGTGGGGAGGGACTAGACTGGCTGCTGGGGGAGGAGACGCCCGAGGTGGAGGAAGACTGAGCACACCGGCAGCTGGTGGGGAAAGGGAGGCAAGGGGAAGATGAGGAGGAGGCACCCAGCAGCTTCACTTTTATTCCTCCCAAACTGGATTCTCCATTGCAGAAGCTTGAAAGACATGCAGTGTATGTGTCACTGTCGGAGTCGATGGTCAGGTCAGAGCTGTCACAGGTCATCACACTGTTTATGGAGTCTGAAAGGGACAATAAGCTATTTATACCTCAAGATCACCTTATAACATGGAGTACTGACGAGGCAGTGGTGTATAGACAGCTGTTCGTTTCATAGCGGTTGCAGATAACATACTATGTGTATGGAAACATTTACTGCATCATGCAATACTGAAATGTTCTCACCATTAAGTTCCATAAATGATTCCTCATCATCATCTTCATGGTCACCATCATAACCTGACATCACTGCGCTCTCTGGGAATTCCCACTTTTCAACAGTTGGAGTTGAGGCTTTCTCACGTTCCATACTGCGTTTGATAGTTCTGAGTCAACAAAAAAAGGACAATATACCAACATGTCTTCAAAACGAAACTTATCAACTTCAGATCAACTGTCTGTTATTGTCATTCCCATCATTAGCCTGCTCAAGTCATTCCCAACATTAGCCTGCTCAAGTCATTTCCATCATTAGCCTGCTCAAGTCATTCCCATCATTAGCCTGCTCAAAGTCATTCCCAACATTAGCCTGCTCAAGTCATTCCCATCATTAGCCTGCTCAAAGTCATTCCCATCATTAGCCTGCTCAAAGTCATTCCCAACATTAGCCTGCTCAAGTCATTCCCAACATTAGCCTGCTCCAGTTAGCAGTGCATTAACAATGAAACCTGTGTGTACCTGTGACTGCGACTCTTCCCCCGTGATGGTGAGACAATGAGTTCATCTGCATTCTTGAATCGGAGCTTCACGTCAGTTCCATGCAGGACGTGTTCTGTTACACCCATGATTGAGCAGAGCTGTTCGTAACTCATTATCTGTAATCAATAGCAATCTCCTTGAAAACAAACCTCTGATACTTTTGATTCAGTTTTCTAGATATTACAAGTAGGATCTCAAAGAGCAAGGATATTATTCATATTTGTTACATATTCTATACTTACATCAATATTGCTGACACAGTGGTATTTCTCATCCGAGTATCTCTGTTTGACTGCTTGTAGAGTGATGTCACGATGGTCTACAACTGACCCCTCCATGAAGCTGAAGACAAAAATAGTCATTCTTATATAACAGAACCAGTATGTGGTACTTTTGAATATTTTACTTGACTAGTCGTTGACTAGTTAGTTAGTTAGTTAGAGGCTTTCATGCACAATATCTGCTCCACCAATGGACTACGTGCTTGAGGGTTATTTCAGCATGAATAGCATGTGTTAGATCATCCTTAGCATGGAGATAACACTTACCATTTCTCATGGACATGGAAGGCACACCTGCTAATGTCTTCCACTGAAAACCCTGTGAACTCTTCCATCATAGAGGGCCAGGGGGTTTCTGGAGCAACAAAATAATACGACATCAGATGTTGTACATCATACAAGGACCCAGGTGATCAATTTTGTCAATAGTTAACACCAATCTTATGAACTTATGTTAGAAGATGAAACACGATAAGTATACAAGATATGACGTCTGCCTCAGATTATTATCGTCATTAAATGTATCTGTGACAAAACAATCTGCCAGACAAAGCAATATGAAGATGAAAAATATAGTTTCGAAAATAGGCTACAACTACAAGATGTCTTTATGTATAATAATAATAAATTATAGCTGTATAAATAATCTTTTGCCCAAGATCATTTCAAAGTTGGCATGTTCAGATCTCAAAAAGTAGACACATGTTTTTAGCATTATAAGTCTATGTAGGTCTTGTATTGATAATGTTATGATAAAGACAGCAACTCACCCATTTTGACTAGAATACGAGCTAGGAGGACACAGCTAGCAGCAATCTCAGCTGGGCTGTACTGTCCCATCTCAGCCTGCAGCAAGCTCAGTTCACAGATGTACTCGGCAAGTTTGGTACAGCGTCGGTCCATGCCTGGTGCCAGCACAGTCAGTATGTTCACGTAGTCCAGGCTGGTAGCCACCCGAATGTTGCCCCGCACTGTGGCTGTGATCTCTCCCATCATCCTCACTACATCCTCATAGCTGTAGGTGCTGTCAGTGAGCCAGGCCGCCTCACGGATTGTGATAATATCCTTGCCAAGGAATCTGTACATACAACCACACATATCAAGATACTTGCATGACAATAGCACAAACACATCATAGCAACATTTTAGTTGAAAAAGATTTGATGAGGGTCTGCTCATGTATGACCCTCCAGCTAAAACTGTTATAGTTTGTGTGACATGATTTGTAAGAAAATGATGGATTAACCGAGGCAAAATATCAGTGTACATCCACACATGTTCTCAGTGAAGGAAGGTCATTAAATGCTGGTGATGTCCGTAATATTCCCGTTATATCAGAGTGACCAGTAAATAACCATGTCTAGGCTATATAAACCAGTAGTTGTTACTCTGGGACCTGTTTCATAAACAATCTTAACCCTACAACTGTTGTAAGCTTATGTTAAGTACAATATAACAGTTACAACAGATGTAGCTACACCCAGAGCTTGATTATCAATCCATTTTAGCAGTGTATGAAATAAGGCCCGGCCGACCGTGCAAGACGGGCTAGAGTTCTGACAGACGGTCTAGATTTACAGCTAGCCAGCCTAATGGTCTGGTAAATTTTTTTAGATGTTGCATACATCTGAGTAAATTCACCATATCTTGCTTGGTGTCTGGTCTGGTTAAATCCATTTGGGGCTGGTAACATTTTCAAGTTACCAGCCCTGATGGCTGGCTGGAGTTTTGGCTTATTTCATACACTGATTTTAGTTATTATAGCATTTGTTATTGGTAAACATTTCTATGCTGGAATCACCATAGGGGTCTTTGGGTTAGGCTACTGGGATTGTCATGAGGACTGTGGGTTAGGCTACTGGGATTGTCATGAGGACTGTGGGTTAGGCTACTGGGATTGTCATGAGGACTGTGGGTTAGGCTACTGGGATTGTCATGAGGACTGTAGTAACTGACCTTGAGCAAATAACCATAGCTGCTACTCCCAGGAGCTGCAGTTGAGAGCGGGGAACAGCATGCACCTGCAGGAATCGATCCACCAGGTTGACGGCAGCATGGAGGGTGAGGGTGGAGAAGTCCTTCATCCCTGCTACTTCTACCAGCCAGTCAACAAGGATGTATCTGAAGAAAACACCCAAACATTACACATGTGCTACCAACATGGACCTGTGTAGTGTTAAAGCACAATAGTTAGCTTCACCAAAGAAGGCCCTATTTATATTATACTGATCTTGTCCTTCATCCTTACCTCATGGATGGGGTGAGGTCTCTGTGGTTCTGGAACGTCTTGTGAGTGCCTGTGGGAGAGGTAGTTTGAAAGACTTCTCTCAGGAACGCTGCCACTTGAGAGCGAGATATGCCACCATATTTCCCAGATGCATAAAACTTGCACAAATACAGTCGGGCGTTCAGACATCCCATACTGGCCACATCACGCAACTGGCGCATACTTTCTAGTTCAGCTGCTTTGTCTAATACCTGCACAAAAGAAACAAACAGGACATTTTGAGATGACTGTTATTATAAGAAACGCTTCCTCGGAATCAACCTGTTAACATAGACATTTAAGAAATACCGTAATCGTAGTTATTTTCGAGTGGGTTTAATTTTTGTGCTTTTAGCGCAAAAAGATTTACACCAATAATCATACCAAGCGAAATATTTATGGTGAAGTCACGACAAATACTCAAGTAGGAACAACATGCAATTTGTTTATTCTCTCAGATAACAACATCAAAGCAATTATTCCCAGTCCATGTAAATTACGTGATCAAACAATGTCAAGAAGTCCACAGATGTTCGCAGCGGAAATAGCGAGATCGCGCGAAACCTCATCGGTGACAGGTTAAATTGTTCCATGCATACAAACTATCCGGCTATACACCAAAAAGCTGTCGCATAAACTTAGTTACGATTATAAATATTTTACATTTATAGAGCACAACCTGCAATAACAATGACACAAAACTAGAATATATTTCTCTTTATATAACAATACTTTCAGATACTAACTTTTTAAGATCACTGCATCAGAATTCATCTCGGAATATTATCGGGTACGTTTAAACTAAATCACGGGTAGGGGAACGTGTGCACTGCTATTTCCGGCGCGGTATACGAGACAATTACACACGGTAATCTTAATACCTGCATATAAGACAATGCCTAGCAAAAACAAATTAGAACTGAACAGGTAAATAATCTTTTCCAGCAATTTACAATAGCAAATTTGACGTCTTTGGTCTTCTCTTGTATGTTCGTTTACGCGAAGCGATATGACGTCAGTCACAAATCACAATGTTGACACAAGTACAGTATAATCCCACCTCTCTCTGATTGTTTTAGTAAACACGATTCAATTAAGGCAGCTAGCTTTCATCATTGCATGTCTATCGGTGGTGTAAACGTTGTGATGGATACCATCACTCAGGTGTTTGAAATGCGTGAAAAAACAACTGCGCTAACGGGCTTTATGTGAACTTTCCGCGAAAATTGCACCCTGTGAAAATATATATGGTTACAGTATACTGTTCACACATAACACTTTAAATATTTGTTATGTTAACAAAACCACCTTACCCTCTGTGAATACTGCAACTCCCACAATGCAAGTGCTGCATCAGCTGACCCATGCTTGGCAGCCAACTGTAAGTAGTGGACGGCAGCTGCCTCAGTACCTTCCCCATCCAGGAGTTGCAACATCTTCCCAACACAAACACTGATATCTCGGTTGACTTCCTGCAACACCACAATATCACATACAGCTAGTGTACCTCCACAGGCAGCTAGTCCTTCAAGTTCAATACAACCACTGCTGCATTCTTAATATGCCTGGATAAGGTGTTGAGAGATACTCGTAACAACAATGTTTGATTACTTTGCCTGCCTACATATGCTTCCTGCACATCAAAGGAATGGCTAAGCATAATTACCTTCTCTAGGTATTTCTTCATGAACTGAAAGACACCCTCCTTGCAGCAGGCGCCACTCACAGACCATGGAGGGCGGATAAAGAGCCATGTGAAAGGGACTGTGTTAGGGGTGAGAGCTTCAGTCTTACAGAACAGCTCCGCAGCACGGTTACCATTGGATGGACACAGTTCAGAGGTTGCAGGACTTGGCACTAAAGTAAAACAAGGAAAAGTGAATATGTAATATAAAGTTCTAAATGAATAAATCACAGGTGTACAAAATGTGCTATTGTCTTCATCATTACCCAACAAGTTATTTGAAGGTCACTCAAATAATGTCCTGACTACATCAATTTACTTCTGCATGGACTGGAAAACCTCCAGTGTTAGACATTATCCCAAACAGTACAGGTTGGCTTTATACTTACATCCCTCGCTGTAGAGGTATGCCACAGCAAGCTTGATTAAGGCTTCCAGGTTACCATTTTCTTGAGCTCTGTACAATGGAAAGAAGCATTGTCATCAATAACCAACAGGCATCACACACTCATATGCTAACCAGACATATTTGGTATATTGACAATATTGTGGAAGTAATTAAGATTAACTGTGTCACTTGGAACTTCCTGAAGTAAAGTATATGTATGTGACGATGACACTCACCTCTGGAAATGTTGAAGGTTGGCAGGGGATGGCCAGCAGTTGTGGAATGTAACTGCGGTCCAGATAGAGGTGTGTGTGTCGATCAGTTGCAGGAAGTAGGGATGAACCTGCCAAGCAACATATTTATTATACAAACATGCTACAAAAAGGGAATACAGCTGTAAATTCTTGTAAAAAAGATGCTAGAAGCTAAATGAAACAATGAAAAATGTTTCTTATAAACAAGCAGAATTATTACAGCATCCAATTTAAGAAATACACACTAACCTACACCCACTGTATCAGACATAATACAAGTTGCACTGACAATGTTCCTCCATTATAAGTAGCTAGCAAATACATAATACATTTGAATGTATCACAATATGAAAACCACATCAACTATCATACATGTCACGATTGTTAAAACAGCAGACTTACCACCCTCATGTTCAGCAAATCTTTAATCTGTAGACCTTTAAGAAAATGTAGGAGTATTTCTTCAGGAAGATGCCATATAGTGACACTGCTGCGTGTACGGGGACGCAGTTGTGTGTGCACAGGGATGAAAACATTCTCAGGTGATCGCTGCAGCCGACTTATACTCTGTATTACTGAAACAGATCAAGCATACATATGTTTATACATAGGTTAGTTATATCAACTGTTACAGTACCTCAGTAGGCAATATTCCAGTGATATCTAAGTTACCAAAGGCTCATAGTAAAATTATCATCCGAACCTGAATGCAAATAAGTACTTTCAAGATATGCATCAGTAATGTATCAAGTACTACTTAAAAGGCAAGCACTTGCCTGAATAACAGGGGCTCATATTGCTGCATTTATATGTAGATGGCTATCAGTGAACAAGCGTTTGACCTGGGATGTATTATTTTCAGCAACACAAGCCCCTGTGGCCTGAATCAGAGTACTTGTAATATTGACATACCAAAGACATCAAAATGCATTTGAAAACAGAAGAGACAACTCCACGCATAAGTCTTATAAGAAGCATGATGGTGGTCGCCATCGCTAGTTGACATACTGCAATCTTGTAAGCCTATCCAGTCCATCAACAAGGAAAGGACGTATTTTTTGTTACATTTCACTATGTATAAACCATTGCATAATTAGCAGTGGATGTTGAATATCTACTTACAGTTTTGCCAAAACATATCTACAATAGACATGTGACCGTTTGGTAAGACAAAGTAGGTGGAACTGACGCTGACAGTGATTCAGGGTCCTATTTCAAGTCGAGACACGACCCGATCTCACTTGCCATGTGCGTAGCTAAAAATAGCACAGCGTGGGGGCAACAAAGCCTAGCAACCAATCAAGACACGTTTATTTTCATATAAGCCAATCAGAGGGCTAGGTTTCAGAAGTTGTTAACTGGAGTAACGAGGCTGAAGTATTATATGCTTGTCAAAACATTCCAACAGTACGCTTTCAATGGTACTTAAAGCTTCTGGTCTCTCTTTTCTTAAGTTAATTAATGGGGTTTTAATTAAGAAGATTAAGTAGTTAATTAACAATATGCTGCCATTGGTTCAATACCATGTCAAAATAACTCCCTGTCAATAGACATTATTTCTTTGAGTTTGTATTTCAATTTGGTAACTCATATATGTTGGACATGTGGATAGAACAAGCATTGCCGTCCAAATCGTTTCCTTCTTCAAAGTGCACTAACTACTGCCCGGCGATGTTTCTAATGTACCTAATGTACACTACGTATACCAACTGGACTACACATCGCCTGGTGAAGACATCTGCTAATCCTTGCCAAGTTAAGACTGGCAACTTATTGTCATTTACGCACCTTTTTATTCAGAAAACAATTAATGTGTAAGTGTAGTCTAATGACTTCAAAAGAACCCAACTATTCAGTGAGGTTATGACTGACTGTAAGCCAGACTCGCAGTGACATAATACTTCATAATATCTACAGCCCTCGGCGCTCTCACACACCATACATTATAGGCCTACTGAATATTTTGCCACGTTTGTCCTTCGGTTATCACATCACCTTCGTGACAAAAACAGATTGTACTTTTCTAGAATGGTGTGTGACTGGCACAACATATTCACATACGTTTTCAAGAGAGCACTGTAAAATTAAACGGCCCTAAACATTCAGATAGCTTTCGCAAGAAATTGGCGGACACTCGAACAGTTAAATCGGGTCTCGTTCACTGACCATTGCGCCAAAAAATGAAAACAAGGCGAATGTCGCCTTCAAAATGAAAACTGATAATATTGGACATAACAAACATTGATGAGATTAATCACATGTCTACTTTGCCAACATGTACATATATACTACATAATACACGGTTCAAAATATTTGGTGAGTCCGCCTCAATCAAAACAGGCTCCGGCTTAGCGGTTGGGAGATCCCGCCCCCTCGATCAAAACAATACGTGTTACTAACTGTATAGATTAATTAGACTTAAGTTGCATTGTCCATATGTTGAATATATAATTAACTTACCTTTCATATCGTAAAATTTGCCAAAGATGAATCCAGATTCATGCAAACAGACAAGATAGTTGACTGTGATCGTCGAGTTTAGTCCGTCGCCACTTAATCGCTACGAAATCAACGGTCCGCGTCGCTGATTGGTTGAGTTTTGTGACGTTTCAAAACGATTGAGGGCTCTTCCCAACCATTCCCACAATGCATAGCGTGATCCGTGTGAGGGGCACGCGGATGAGAGTATGTTTATGTTTTTGAAAATGTGACATTTTAACGGACTGACATCTCTTTTTATTTCAAATGCATAACTCAGAGACATTAATGATGGCGTTTGGTTATAATTGTCTATGGCTTTTTGTACCCACCCTATCAATGGAAAATGTCAGAATGTGCAGAGGGTGAAAGCAAATATAATAGACCTTGTGCATGTGATGTACGTACCTACATATTTCGTGTGCAGTATTTTTACTCACACATTACTTTCATCATTTGTATTTATATAGTCCAGTGGGCGTGCCAACTATACACTACTCAAAATAATAATGATGAAATAACATATTACATTTATAAATATAATTTATTTGTTAAGTATGCAATATTCATTTATTGTCTATGCACAATGAATATGCTATCAATAAATACTGAACGATGAAACAATAGATGTAGGTGGCAAGATGTGTAAAGGATTTTCTAAGGAACTTTATTTTATGTCTAAGAATTAACACCTAACTGGCAGGTGTGCATTGTGTATCTTGCTATCTGTGATAATTTAATACCAATGAGCAGTGCAGATCCCTGTAGAGTGCCTTGCCACAGGCATACGCCCGACACACCAATCACTGCCGCTACCCTTTTCCTTATTTCTTTTTGTTGTGTGTTTTCGATTTGACACCACCTCTGCCTCGGGGTGATGGACTGCCACTGGATCACCACATTGAACGATGTGTGCACATGTAGACAACAGCAAGGTTTATAAAAGTGATCATAAATCATTACTCGTTGAGAGAACCCAGGGGGTAATAATGCTCAGATACATGTTGCATCAATTCATAACGTCACATTCGCTAAAAAACCACAAGGGTTTAGAGGAATGTTTACACTTAGATAGGTGTGAGTGTAACAACACGGACCACCTCTACTGCTATAGGGATCCTCATCTTTAGAAATTGAGGTTGTATATGTTTCATTTCATTAGAATCTGTGTGCAAAACAAAAACCATGTTGTGCAGATTATATAACCTTATTTTCTCTTCATTTAACTCATTTGTGTTTCGTATGATCCTTGGTAGGCCACAACAAAACGTTGGGAACATGTGAGCACATCTCGTGTATATTACAATCTCTCTAATGAGGTACTGCATATGCACTACAATTATTCAGTATTTAATGATTCCTTTGATTGTCCAGGAATCAGGTACTTTGAGTCACTCTGAAAACAAACATGAACGATTTAAAATATGCAACGAGACGTGAAAATGTTAATTGTCTTTAATTTGGAATGACAGTTTGAGTAAAACAATGAAATTACTGCGAGCCATTCCCGTTAGTTGTTTTGACTGCATGTCCCGTGCATGGCCTCTAATGAACCATGGGCTTCGTCATTGACCTCTCTTGCTCTTTTGAAAACTCTTTCTTCAACCGTTACCGCGCGCGCCAAGTAAACCCCCCATCATCTAATTATCTTGCTACGACAGGTTAAGCCAAATACTGACCGTTAGGGTCCAGCAGAGATCAAAGGGTGACGCAACTGAACGCTACATGTCCGTGCTAAGACTTCCACCAGGTGGAGGTTTACGTAATGACTCTCAACAATCAGCGGGCGGCACCGTGTTGGTCATCATCAGTTCTCTCATTTGTTAAATAAATTTGTCAATAATACTCAAATTAGCAAGTCCTTAAACGATTAACGATTCTTTCATACACTGTACGTACAAGAATCTGTACAACGGTACAAGAATCAGTATCGAAACGTCGCACTCACGAAATAAAGAAGTTGTTATCCATAAAAAATTGTTCTATATTGTACGTCTCAACTTCTAAAATGCAACTCAAACAAGTTTCATACACTGGTCTGTAAATTGACGAAGAATATACATTGAGAGCACAACAGACGTGACTTATAATATAGGTGCAGAGTCTGCTATCAACAATTTAGGTATTCCCCGTATATATAATGGGCAGTGTGGAACAACTTAAAACAAATTCTGTCTTTATTATCTATAAATCTTTCCCTAAATTGATAAATACTCTAACACTAGGTAGGTCCTAAATAACGACTTTACTATACATACATACCGATTATACATATCGTATACACTATGCATATACCACTGCCACATAAAGTACATCTGTTACTGCGGGAAGATTAGAACGCATATTTTCACAAGGCTGAAAGGAATATGTTTTCCGACTCGAGTTTATAACAACATTCGCAAGAAGCTGAAATCAACATTGTAGGTTGGTCACCAGCCAGATGCCGTGTGTGACAAACAGAGGACTGGCTAAAATAGAAGGCGCGAGTTCACCTGGATACAAGACTTGTTGAGGTGTGAGGTCCAACAAACGTGTGATACATACAGCCATCACCGTAGTGTGCAACATTGTTTGCTTAGCCTTTCATGTTTTTGTACGCTTGAATATGATACTGAAACATTCCATTTACAAAAACCGGGGGTCAGAGGGGGCAAACCCACCCCACCCCCCACCCAACACACACCTATCTTTTGAAGTGGTATGGCATTGTGACATTGTCCGCCCACAACTTTGGAAGCACGATGAAACAATTTCCTGCATTTGCAAATACATATGAGAAAATATTAGCGTATGTATTTATGAGAATCACCAATATTACTTGCAACATTCCTGTACCCATGCCCTCCATCTGTAACACCACCTATCACTCCCTCTATCCAGTCCTATGATTTTTAACACTGCCTGGAAGCGAAAGTGCGGAGTCCTTCAAGAATTCACCATAAATCCTGCATGATGTCATTATGTCATCAGTGTGTAAATATAATAACAAACGTCTTATCAACACATATCATATCAAAACCAGTTGGCAGCGACAAATATCTAGGCATATTAGGCATAAATAAATATATGGTATTATTCGGGAGTTTGATTGGATCGGATTGCAAAATGAATACGGAATTTCGATATTTTGTAACTGTGCCGCATTTAAGCATGGCAACCAAATGTATGCAGTAGAAAACAATTGTTTGAAATCATTGATATAAAGATTCATACACTTTTGGAACATCATTTTAAAAAGAAAGCTCTGAATGAAAAGGTATTTATTTTACGTCATCATATTGATATGATACAAAACTATGATGTAAGGAATAATATTGTTCCGTTCTGTGGATTTGTACATGCTCTTCGAGATGCATTTGGTCCTTGCACATATAACTTAGAAGTTGATCCTTCATCATGTTGGTCTCTTGTTGTATGTCTTAGCAATGAATCCACAGTCCCAAACATAGAGAAAATAAATTCTTATAACACAATTAATAAAAGGATTATTGAAAGCTAAAAAAACCTGAATGGGATGGGCTTTTTATTGAAGTTACTTTTCAGATCTGAACAAATATCAACTCTCTACATAAAAGATAGATAGCATATATGAGTGGCACTGTAATCCTCTAGGAATACATCCAAACTGCATCCCCCGTTGACTTAAAAGAGGAAGATGAGAGGATGTGGTACAGGGAGATGCAGTATAGTCTTGAAAACTACTGGAAATGAAGGGTACTCTTCCGTTTTGCACATGTATGCCATGCGTCTATCCGTAAGTTCAGGATGTTGCTATTAAATACTGAGGTTCTACCAAGTTGTATGGGGGTCTAGGACAGTGCTAACTTGCTTGATAACGGTGTTAGTACCTATACACCATACGTTGTACTCACTGCAACAAACATGTTGACTATCCTTAGAACTTGGTTTTCCTACATCTTCACAACTACTAAAATGACTGTCAAAGAAATGATACTGCCTGTCTGCATTCAAAGTATATACATGTCATTATATTATATGTCATTACTTTTCGTGAACTCTTGACACACACCCCCACACCCCCTTCACGGATTGAAATGTTTGCCCCCATGTAAACTTTTGCAACGTGTATTACATTCGTGTTCAATATATATCCACCAATTACCCGTGTAACCTAAAAATGGAGCTCTCTCTCCCACAATAAGGAAAATAAGAAAATCATTTTTGTCGTGCATAGGTTTTATGCCTTTCTTTTCCACAGGAAAGAATGCCATTGATGTACGACAAAGTATTTCCTTTGGTATGAATAAATAGTTTGTGATTCCATGGCAAACAAAGCAATTCCATTGTCTAAGAGAGAGTTCATAATTGGCATTTATTTCTACAAATTTTGGAAGAGTTATCAAAACTTGTTCTTATTTACAACTGGAACAATGCGACATGTTCCACGGCCCTGCAGCCAGTATTGTTCCAGCATCCCCCGCGTCATATACCTTGTCTGGATTCTCAAGTAGATACGACACGAGCGGTTCAATGCATTTTAATGAAGATCAGCCTGTAATGCATGCTAATGCCGACGCAGGTTTCATAAATGGTCTTGGTATTTTGTCTTAGAGCGGTACTGAATAAACAAATAGACAGCCACACATTGTATAAAACATATAACTGTCACGTATGCTTAATTTGTATGATTGCGGTTCTGTTTAGGTACTGTATAGACATATGATGAATGCAAGAATCAAGTACAGATTTATGTATCCATATCAGATGGGTTTTCTGTGCAACAGGAATATCAAACAAATGCCACATTTCTATTCTTTTCACGATAATTATAACTGGTTGTAGACGTTGATGTAGTCTCTTACAACTTTAATCCACGTGCCTGACTGGATGACAATATGTTTAACGAGGCGGCGAGACTGCATCACTAATGAGATGCACTGAGATATCATGTGTAAGATTTAGCTTAAAGATAAAAGTTTAGTGGTAAGTTGAAATTAAATACCATAATTAGGCGATAAATAAGCTCGTATCGAAATCGGTCTGTTCACTGATTGATGACAAGGAGCTAATTATGTGGTGAGAGGGAGTTGGAACCTTTGTGAAGGGTATACTTGAATATCTATACAGTTAACGGCCTGACAGATACCCACAACCACGTGCAGGTCGGCGCCGTCCGTCCGTAAAAGTCATAGGAACTGGCTATCCCCCAAATCCGCCCGTGTACAACATGTCAGTTTACACTAATTATCTGTCACTTTTCTAAGTATATACATTTAGTAAAAGAAAGACAAACGAAACAGATCGATAGTCAGGGGGTGATCCGACATCTACATGTATGTGTAACTTTGCTTTCATAAAATAAAACACCATCTCTCTTGATTATAATTAGTGCACACACATGCTTGATTTAACGGGTTTGGAACATCACAACAATATAAGTATTAACATTGTTTTAGTCGACATGTTTTAATGCATTCAGCGCGGGTGAGTTTGATTTAGTATACGTTGTTGATATTTCAGTTATTTCCCGGCGTTGGTTTGGTGTGGAAGGATACACGAAATGACACAATAATTATCAGTGTGTATATTAATATTTTAATGTTTTAGTCTTGTTTTATTAAGTTTCACATTCTTATGAGGATTTTAAGTAGTTATCGTGTCTCATAGGCCGCAGGGCCGAGTGGTCTACATTTTTATATTGTGAATTTTATGTGATTTTTGCTAGTCAATTGTATACCACGGGATACGTTAATAAACTAGTTTCTTCTTCTTCTTCTTTTCAGTGTTTTACCACTTTGGTGAAACCAGCTGTAGAAGTGGGGCATAACATGACGTATGATCAAAGGAGTGAATTCTTCTTGTCATATCAAGGTACAAGTGCGGTTTAACAATGATAAATGACGGGTTATTATGCTGTGTATTCGAAAGGGATTATACATGGCTCACAAAACGGATTCCGGAAGAAAAGGTTTACACAAGATCACATACAATCTTTAATATCCCTTGCTGAAACTCATCTGAGGACGCCAAGCGTTTTGTTCTATTAAAGGGACTTCCCAAGACCATGAACATCATGGACGTTCATGTATAAATATTGCCAATATAGTGAAAGTACAGGACTGCCACATTCTGGAGATCTTGTTCTGATAACTGAAAGCGAGGAGGACCCGATACTTACTTTGGACATACTCTATACATAGTGTCATCAGAATATGCTCAGTGTAAAAGCAGAAAAGAAACACACTTAAGTTGTACACCGTAGAGAACGATGTACCCGTTTAACATCAATAGTGCCAAAATAACTATGCATGTCTACAGAAACGTTCATCCCATCCCCAAGAATGCTTCAAAGTCTGCTAGTAGAGCTCTCAGGTCATCAATAGCGAAAACAAAAAATGTGGGTGTCATACATTTAACTCCTTTACGAAACTGTGCCAACGTAGTATGGTCATCATTAAACCACCGTCATATTGGGCACTTCAGATGTGTCTTGTATCAATGCAGCACAGAATGGAGCTATCAGCTACTACTAGAAAATAGTAAGTGTTATCATGCAGATTTTAGTCATTTCAGCAATGATGATAAATTTATTTAAATATAGATGGATAGACAGATAAAAATGAATGAATGATAATACGATCCCTCAAAACATTTTTAAAGAGTATTGGTAGTTATTGCACTATTTATTAACCAAAACCAAAGGGGAGACGTATATAAACAATTGTTGTCTGTGAAACTTTGATCATAATGGAATTCAGTTAGTGAAGTCCACTGTATCTACGGGCATGAAGATACACATTAATTTCCAACGACAAAACAACGTTTATATTATATTTTTGTTGAATAAATAATAACACGCACACAGTACGTGCGTCATATGCAAATATATTGGGATTGCCTGGAAACATCTCATACCCATACATGCCAAACGATTGTAACTTTTGCGGTTAAAACAAGGATATGTTGGCTCATCATGTCGTGTCCGAGTGAGTTATCAATGCAGGGTGGTATCTCCAAATAAAGCGAATAAATGATCTTCAAACTCAGGTTTTTGTTTCACTTTATTTTAGGGAAAGGTAGGTCACTCTTACATCATGCATCTCACAGCTCTTTTCATAAGTTTGATAGATGTATTACATATATATTATATACGCTCACCCAGCAATCTGCACAGGTGTATTTAAGTTACTGTAAATAAAACCTGATATATTACATCGTAGAGTTAATATCTTTTACTTTAAGAAACAACTTTACAATATCTGTTCTTGGATTAATGGACTGACCAATGTTATATCATTACTGACATTTTGTTTTGATATGCACGATACATCAGATATAATCCAATCGTGAGGTGACGTTAAGTATGCTGAGTACACGACACAATATGCTGTATTGAGAGCTCGTCTGTTCTCCTCAACCCACTGGTAGCTACATGGCAATAATCCGCTGTGTGTGAAAAACATTGACATTCCAGATTGGCATTAACTACCTGGACACTTACTTGACAACGCCTCGTTCGTTCGTTACATCACTGTATCTATGGACAATACTTTTACAATACAGTACGTCTGGTTTGTCCCATTCGAACCTAAAACGTTCAGAATATACCACACAGCAAAGCACCATATCATCAGCCAGCAATCTAACCAACATAGACTTCCACAACCCAACACCCCCAAAATCTGAAAACTTGATGTTTAGATCACGTACTAAATCTGTATATTGATCATTCTAGTGGTTGTTCACGATGAAGATAAAGAGTTGTCTCCCCGAGATTACTCTTCCGTAAACATCGAAGAAGGAGGAGGGGCACCTCAGTAGTGATAGTAAACGTATTATGTGAAGCATTTTTCTTTTTAAATATGATACCATGGTATATTTTAAAATTTTACGCCCAGAAGCATATCAAGTTCACTTCTGGAACAGCTGTGTTGCTTGTTCTCACACTGATCTTCTACAGGTAATTCGCGAGTTTGAAATGAGTTGGACAGGTCGCCCCTGTCATTAGCCATACTTCTTGAATGTGTTAATAATAAGTATAACATTGAGAATGAAGGACATATATTATTAATCTGTGAACAATATCATCAGTTGCGGCATAATATACTGGACACATCTACATGTAACTCTGATACTACATTTGTTAACTTAATCTCACCTCAAGACTTCAGTCAGTTGAGAAAGATTTCCTTATATTTAGATAAGGTCCAGCAAGTTATTGACAGGAGTAATAAGTAATTTATATAAATTTTCCATGGCTTTATAATGTATTTTGTACAATGTGCAGAATTTATATGTCAATATGATTGTATTTTGGGCCAGTGGCCTTTATACTGAATAAATATCTGTCTGTCTGTCTGTCTGAATGTGTTAATACCACCTATTTTTATGAGAATAGTGTGATTGGTGGCTTCTCTGTATCTGAGAACTATTGCTAATACACTACTCATTTGACAGTCATTGTAACCATTGTCTCTGATTACAACCATGCTTGGTTGACAGGCTTGTAACAAAATAACCAAACTTATAGCATACTTCACTTGTAAATTCTCCACCTGGCCTCATCCTATTATGTGCTTCTTGTTATCAATCACCTGAGCACTGCTCTTAATGTTAATCTGCTGCTTGTCACAAGATCCTATGCACATACACCTCTCATCAACCTTTTTGTTGTCAGTACCATGATCCACTTTTAATTTGATGATGTTGGGAAAGTCACCCTATATAATTCATGAAGATCATTAGTTAATTTGCTTGCATGAGTATAAACAGTATCAGGCAATGTGAATATTGTGAAAACCCATGTATATTTTCATGCATAAAAGCATAGAGTTTGATTTTAGATTCACCAGTCTCTATGAATTTTAATTAACCTTGGGTTAGCACAGTTAGAATCTTCACTTGGGGTAATACTTGTAAGCATATTCTACTCAATTGAATAAAGTTAAATTATTTTGTAAAACTGGTTTCCTTCAGGACTTATATTTTTATAAGTTGGATCAGAAAATATTTGGAAAATTGAGTGTAGGTGTACAAAAAAACTTAATATATATATTATGATTTCAACTTCCAAATTAGTACTGTTATTGATGGAGAGTTTGTTTTAGTTTTACTCTGCAGAATTTCATCAATGATTATGAAATTGTTGGGAATATTTACCTAATTAATGTTGAGTACAAGGTGTATGTAGATCATCATGTATGTAGGAAGTGTGATAGCAGACATCCTGTTGGTCTGTTGCTGTTGCAGTGTTTCATAGTAGATCTTGCATGTGATAAAATGCAAAATATTAGAAAGTATTAGCCAACAATTTTTGTATATATTTTGGACATGTAACCAGTTCCCAACACAAATATTTCAAGTTTGATGTGGACTGAAAAACATGATGACATGATGTGTTTTTGTTGTCCCCTGCCGCAGCGCGGAACTATGTTTTCAGCAGTGTCCGTCCGTCCGTACGTCTGTCTGTACGTATGTACTTCCCGATTCTTGTTAACGCGGTATCTCATGAACTGTTGTACCCAATGTCTTCAAATTTGGTGTCAGCCTACATTGGGGGATTACGCAGACACCAGTCGATTTGCGTGACCTTGACCTTATTTTCAAGGTCACCACGACACTTTGACCACTTTTCCAACTCTTGTTAACGCGATATCTCATGAACTGTTGTACCCAATGTCTTCAAATTTGGTGTCAGCCTACATTGGGGTATTACGAAGACACCAGTCGATTTGCGTGACCTTGACCTTATTTTCAAGGTCACCACGACACTTTGACCACTTTTCCAACTCTTGTTAACGCGATATCTCATGAACTGTTGTACCCAATGTCTTCAAATATGGTGTCAGCCTACATTGGGGTATTACGAAGACACCAGTCGATTTGCGTGACCTTGACCTTATTTTCAATGTCACCACAACAATTTGAACACTTTTCCAACTCTTCTTAACACGGCATATTATGGACTGTTGTACCCAATGTCTTCAAATTTGGTAACAGCATACATTGGGGGATTACGCAGACACCAGTTGATTTAGGTGACCATGACCTTATTTTCAAGGTCACCATGACACTTTGACCACTTTTCCAACTCTTGTTAACGCGATATCTCATGAACTGTTGTACCCAATGTCTTCAAATTTGGTGTCAGCCTACATTGGGGGATTACGCAGACACAAGTCGATTTGCGTGACCTTGACCTTATTTTCAAGATCACCACGACACTTTGACCACTTTTCCAACTCTTGTTAACGCGATATCTCATGTGGTGACAGCATACATTGGAGTATTACACAGACACCAGTTTATTTGGGTAACCTTGACCTTATCTTCAAGGTCACCACAATACTTTGACCGCTTTTTAAAAAACCCATAAAAAACATTGCACCCAATGTTTGAAGTATGTTGACAGCCTACATTGGGTGATTATGCAGACACCAGTCATTTCAGGCATCTTGTATGTGACCCAAAAATAAAAAGTAGTAAATATAGATTTTCCATTCTTTAGCGGCGGGGGACATTGCCATATCAGTGTCAAACACTTGTTCTTTTTAATTTTAGTCACACATGTTGATGTAGCATTGGTACAAATAACAAATGAGTGACAATTGATTCAAAGATTAATTTTTTCTTTCTATTTCATCACGAAAATTGTGAAAAAAGTATATTTTTAAACTTATCCTATCTCACGGTGAGCACTTCTCCTCCTTACTTTGACCATGGCGTTGAAACATGCTGTAGGCAAAGTTGAACAAACAGAGCTACAGATAACTTTTTGGGTTATTGAGTTATGTACTCTCAATTTGGTATCCTAATTTTCCTTTGAGTAACCAAATAAATTGTACCCACCTCACTCAAACTTATTTGGGTATTTTGCCATGTTTCATTAATTGTAAAAATGTAATAATGTTTTAATGTTGGTTTACGTCTTTGTTATTTATATTTGATTTGTAATATTTGAAACGATGAGAAAGACTGCAAGTTGCCAAGTTCATGTACTGAAATAGAACCTCTCAATATATCTCAATTATTTTATCTTTTTTGTATGTACGCATGTAAGATCAAATTTATTGAGTATTTACAAAAATTCAAGCGTACTTCAGTCTAAGTAAACGTAGACTCAGTATTATTCGTTACACTGCTTATAATGAGTCTAACAAACCCTAGTAGAAGGTCGCGTCAGCTAACCTTTTCAATTGACCAATCAGAACACGGCTTACCAAATTGCGAAAGTTGACATTCGCATGTACCTTTTGAACTTTTACCTCGAAAAAGTTTGTACTCAAACAATTCAGAATGCTATTTTCCATACGATCACTTCCGAGTGATGCACATGGAGCACGACACAACAGTGAGTAAACAGTTGCTGAAAATAGCGTTTTTGTCAATATTCAAGGATGTCAGCTTGCGGAAATATTAGTTAATGGTAACCATGTCATCAGAAAGCCCTAAGCTTATATATCTGTCAAGTCAAATATCTGTGTTTTATGCGGATTTCATTTGTTGAGAGATCAGTGTCAGTGACTGGGGAATTTTGTAAGTCCCGCCGAACCCTAAACAGTAGCCGTTGTCTGATTAGTTAAATCTGTTCGGCCGTCTTGCATTTGATTGGACGGTCATAGGTGGCTCAAAGGTTAGCTGACGCGACCTTTTACTAGGGCTTGTTAGACTCAGTATAAGCAGTGTAACGAATAATACTGAGCCTAAGTTTACTTGACTGAGCATAGTTGTACGCAATAGACTTAACAAGAATTGAGTTTTCACATAAATATTTGCGTAATTTACGCAGCTTATCTGTACCTCTGAACAAATCTTATGGCCTCTCTCCAACCCGATCGCTTCCCACCGATCCCTGTAAAGCTTCTAAGTGCTCAAGACGGTCACGTGACATCCCACTGCAGTCATTCTCTTACTTGTTGCCCACAGGTTTGGACGTGTGTAGGCTCTGTCTGCCATTCTTCTTTTTTCTTAATAAGGGAAGAAGTAATTGTTCTACATGGAAGAGGAAACATTGTGATAGGTGTAGAAAACACTTTTCTGCTGCAGAACCCATTTCATTATGCGTGGATTGCATTGGTTGGTGCGATTGGTCTCATCGTTGCTCTTACTGTCCGAACTTAGATGATGCTTTTACTGCTTATCGTAAGGTTGAAAGCAGGCGAGTGGCATACAGGGACCATGGGAAACCATCTGAGGGTCTCTCAGCTTCTAGCAATCTAAGTGGGATCATCCTTATAAGCCTGCTCGGCTTTCTTCACCATCCCCGCAGGATGATGTTTTAGACAATCAGTCGGACTCCTATCTTAGTGAAAATCTACCACGTTTATTCTGTCCTCATAGTCCAGTTACTAGACATGCTGATTCTCCTACTAGAGTGGTGGTGTTTCATACTTCGCCTTTCCAGCAACGTTGAACGGCTCTCGTGACATCTGTTCAGCTCAAGGAACGCCAGTATCAGCCCCAAGTGACAGTGTGTCTCACTTTTCTGGTTCGGTGATCTCTGTTTCTACGGTCACTTATTGTAGTGTGGACTTACGATCGGCCTCCAGTGCTGTTTTCCAGTTCGACGATTCCCCTTAGTTTGATACTTCCAATTGGTACAACAACTCCATTCATTACGGAGCATCAACCCAGATTGGCGCTCCCACTAGGTTCGGTGCTTCAGACTAGTGTGCCACTCATGGTTGGTTCAGTGCTTCCATTCAGTTCAACAATCTCAGCGATCCCTACCAGTTCAGCAATCCCTGCAGTGCGGCGATACCTACCACTTCAGCGATCCTTTCTAGTTCGGCGATCCCTACCAGTTCGGTGATCCCTCCTGGCGTTCCGGCCTATGACTTCTGTGGTGATTCATCACCAACCACCTTTGGTGATCCCTCTTTAGACTGCTTCGGCGACTTACCCCCTTTGTCTCGGCCACTGCATCTCAGCCTTCAAACTTGACATTAGGTTTGGCGAAGC